GCCCGGCATTACAGGCAGGGGGCAGTGCACAGCCCTGACCTCATGCTCACTGGCAGGGAAGAAGCTAGTGATGAGCGCGGGGAAAAGTGGCCCTGTCCAATGGCTGGCGCTCCCTGCTGCAGCTGCTCACAGCCCACGTGGGGCTGTCTGGAGCAGGCACAGGCAGCCCCAAAAGGGCCGCAAGAGGCTGTAACACCGGGCACGGGGCACGTGAGGGGCCGCTTTTCTTTGCACTCAGCACCAGCTTGTAACCTGGCCCTGCTGCCAGCTTGGACCCCATGCTGGCCCTGGGCTCGCCCATCGGAGCTGCATGCGGTAGCAGCAGCTGCAGGCCTCCCGCTTGCTGCGCCGGGCAGTGTTGGCTGCTGCTGCCCACCCAGAGCTCGCTTGTGTACTGGGCAGCACAAAGGCAGTGATGGCAAACATTGCTCAGTGCAGCAAGCGGGGGGGCCGCAGCTGCTGTCGCCACGTGCAGCCCCGACGGGAGCATCACTAAATGATGGCACAGTAACAACAGCACTGTAGGGGCATGTATAGATGGCACAGAATTTTACTCCTCAGTAAGCTCAAAGCACATTAATAGCACATGTAGACACTCATTTGATCTTATGAGATCTGCATACAGGTTTATTCATTTTGCAGTCCACAGAATATAAAGGATCATATTTCTAAATGCAGTTTTACTTGCTTATGTCTTTGGGGAAATATAAACATTGAGGGAGAACTCTCTATCTGTAAAAAGTAAGCTACATTGGAGCAGATTCCATCTAGTGCTACAGTTCACCTGCTTATCTGCTCAGGAAGTGATAATGTTGCAACAAGTTACCCCATTCTTTCAGTCTCTATCTGTCACTAGACTTTTCATGTGGGTGGGAGATTTGGTTAGTGGTTTGGTTTTGGAAATCAGGCAGCTGAATGAGAAGATGTTGAGTTTCTTCAGCAGCACATTGTTATTGAATAGTGTGCAGCTACATTAATGATCTTATCTGGCCCCAGAAGCTAAGCAGTCTTGGGCCTTGCTAATATTTGGGTGGGAAAGCACACTAGAAATCTAAGTACTGTTGATACAAGCCAAGGAGTCATGGTAGAACAGTTGGAAAATGGCGAATCAAATAACTTTAATCACCTCCATCATTGCTGCTGAGCAGAGAGAGGCAAGTAAAAGGAAGGAAATTGTTGTCGCATTGATGGCCATTAGGTGACTCCCATGAACTGAACTGTATGTCTATATGTGATGATGAGTATCTTCAGGGGTATAAGCCTCTCCTGAAATATTAGATTAAAGGCTTTGGACTTTTGAGCCACTGATCTTAATCAACAATCTTGTTGGAAGTGAAGCATTAAACTCTATCAATTTATTATATAGACAAATAGTTTCTCCACACTGACTCTTATTCCTATTTTAATGATCCAAGTCATTAAATGCAATAAATTATCAAGAAAGGAGGTATGTTACAATGGTCTGGGCTTGGAAAGGAGGAAGAACTGCAGAAACTGTCAGCAAATTCAGGGCCTATTAGTAGGAGTCTACCCAACTCAAGGAGGTGGCTGGCCAATTTCACAGATAGATCATGCGGCTGACCACCATTTTCAAGGGCTTATCATGGCTGGGGCCTCGCCCAACACCTCTGATTGGCTGAGGGGACCTTTCCCTGCTACTGATTGATGGAGAGGGATGTCCATTGTATGTTCCCACTGACTGGCTTAGAGGACTGTCTCTCATACAGCCCCACCCCTTCATCAGCAGTGAAGAGCAGAGATAGCAGGCATCTTGCCTACTCACCTTTGTGCCAGCAGCCCTCTTTCCCCCCTTTCCCCCAGGTGGACTATGTGGCCAGGAGGACTGCTGGCTTCCACTGGGGAGCCAGTATTTTATTTTTAGTATGTTATTTTTTCCTGTGGATTTCACAGGGTTCGTCTGATTTTGTGATTTCCACAAAATCTGCACAATCACAATTTGGGTAGGTCCCTACCTATTAGTCTTTCTGAAACATAAAGAAAAGAGAAATTAAAATTTGCCAGATTAAGATTGCCTGAAACACTGATAGGAAAGAACCACACAGTATGTGTGCAGTTTCCTGCAGCCAGTTACTCCTACACAAATCTTACTGCTTTTCTTTTATGCTTTATTGGCTTCTACTATACGGGGGTACAGTGCAGTGTGGTGCAGACAGCTTTCTTGCATGTAAGGAGAGCAGAGGAGCTCAAAGAACATTTAATTGCAAAGAGAAGTCTTACCTGCAAACTGAGAAGATGGAGACTGAGTTTCTTGTTGCTGGTTTAAATTTCCTACAATAATTAATTGAAAATAAAATAAAATTATCACCAGTAACAAGGCAAAAATGGTCTACACAAACCCCTTTGCAGCATCATTGGCCAGCCAAAACCAAAGATAGGCAGAAAGTGCCACAACGGAAGCCCCAGCAGAATACCAGATCATTGTCTGGCAGGCTCAAGACAGTAGTTACCCTAGAGCTTTCCATTTGCTCTAACACACAGTTAACCTGTTTTTATCATGGATAAGTGAATCTCAACCTTTATACCAGTGGTTCTCAAACTTTTTAGCCTCAAGGCACTCCTCAGTAAATGCCAGCACTTAGCTTTCACTCATTTTTTCCACTATGGAAAATAATAGAGCAATTATTTTGGTGCAAAGAATTCAGAAAGGCCACAACCAGTCAGAAATGTTTTTGACACCAGCCCCTAATGTCTATGAAATCTATGAAATTTTCAATGTGCTTCATTGTTTCTGTATCAACAATGCGTTAGTGCCTCATGGTTGTTAGGTAGAAGACAGGTTTCAGCAGCTGAGTATTTTTTCTTATGCTCAGGAATATGCAGTTTTTATTGTGGAGGAATAAGCAGTGTAGCTGGATGATATTGCTCAGTCACCAAGTTATCAACATCCTCTTTAGATTTCAAATTTAATGCTTCATGGAAATAAATAGGACAGCTCATTATTCTCACAGCCTTTCTTATTTCAGACTGAGCTGGCAGTACCATGATCTTAGTGCCTTTTTTTTTTTTTTTTTTTTTTTTATTACTACTACCAATCCCAGGTGTCAGCAGGAAGCAGAGAGGCAGGTAGTGTGCCTCTGGCATTGTGTCCAAACCAAGAACAATGTCCAAATTAATAATAATACATTAATACATACATTAAAGGTACACATGAATAAATACTGATTTTGTAGAGGCTCCCTTCAACTAACTGCTGTAAAATAAATACATAGGAACAATAGCACTAACATTTTACAAAAGTTAAGAAACATTTTTTAAGAAGTCACTGTACCCTATGACTAAAACTTCTCAGCCAAAGCTCTGGAGAAAAGTACAAGTCAATTATTGTTTCTAACCTATCCCTAGATACAGCCTTTCACCCACTTTCTGCTACAGTTGCTGATGATGCATTTGGCTGCCTCTTTATGAGTAATATGGTTGCAACAAGATAACTTTCACAAACCCTCTGGTAAGAAAAAATGTCAGTTACTTGTATAACTTCCTGCTACAGCCCCGTAGAAGGCTGAAGAGAACCAGCTACAGAATAGTGAAATCCTGGCTTCAGTGAAGTCAACAGGAATTTTGCTAGAGATATCCATTGTGAAAAGGAAATGTTGGGATGTTGCCCTGGGCATCAGGAAGTGTTAAATAAATGTTTTATATATACAATACACAGGGAAAATCAATAATACCAACAACAATGTATGTTAGCAGCCTCCAACTTTCTGGCTTTGAAGGGTGGATGAGTGGTTTGGGTTTGGAGAGTTGACCCATGGATCCAGTCCCATGCCACCCCAATACAGCCCCACACTGCCTGCTGTCCCAATCTGGCTGTGCATCACACACCTACTAGCAGCGCATTGATCACCTGCCAGATCCTGTTGTGTGCTGTCCCCCACCCCAGTCTGGCCTCCCACCAGACCCACACCATCCCAGTCTGGCCATCTGGTGTAATCTGGTCTGAAAGGCCATGTTATCTGACCCATAGGACTCCCCATGGCTCCAGAAATTTGGTAGCAGTGGAGCAGCAATTAAGATTGCTGCCACACCACCAGTGCCAAATTTCCAGACCCCTGGGGAGCCCTGATGCAGCAGTATCTATGGGCTGGATAACATGGCTTTATGGAATGGATCTGGCCCATGGGCCAGGGGCTGAGCACCCCTGGTATATGTGAATCAAAGGTCACTTTCTAAAGCTACCTTAAGCTACCTTCTTATAAATGCTACTTAGAATCAGATGCAAACATGGCTTCCTGTCCTGCGAGAATTTTTGAGATTCTGAATGTTTTTCAATCATGAATCAAAAAAAAGTCAACTGTGCAAAATCTTATAACTCCAAAATCAGAGGGAGTGAGGAAGGGAGGAGGAAGGGTGCTTGGACTATATAGATCAAAATATTTAAGTTGATTTCAAGTTATTTACATTTTTCATCTTAAATTTCAAAAAAACAATGAAATCACTTTATTTAAAAATGTTGAAAAGATATTTCAACAACTATGAAACTTTCTTTTTTTCAAATAAGAAATGGCTTAAAAAACAACTCTT